GTTAGTGTTGTTTGTTTATATTTATTTATAACTTATAACATGCACAAAAAAAATAATAATATTAGTCACATGTATTCACAATTTATAATTACAAAGATCAGCACACGTACACACCTATTCGTTCGAGAATCGTCGCACACATGTGAATTATACATGCTCACGATACTTTCGATTTGTCACTTTTCCGTCGTAGATTTCCCATTTTACAGTTATGTGACTCATAGCCTGGTGATAAAGGAGAAAAGAGACACATAGGACGTCAAATTAAGTCACAGTTATGATTTCACAGATTCGAGACAGCTTGGTAGCCCGAACGGCCCCAGGCTTTCGCCCGTGCACGCTAAGTGACTTTCATTACAAGCATTTAGCTTTCCGAAGTCTATGACGACAATTGTTTGGCATTGACGGGCGCGAATTTCGTGCCAATAAAGCTGCCTCGACTTGTTCGATTATGTTATCGACTCAATTTCATATTTATTTTCACTTGGCGGTCCTTCTCTGTTCTTTTTCCGTTACTTACACGTGTATGTCATTTCATTGTTATTCATGTGATATCATCATTTATCACATACTGCCATGACGCTCTTGTCTGTCCGCTACAACTGTCAAGAATTAACGCGATTGGCGAAGCGTAGTGACAGCGGGCCAATAGAGAGCGGGGGTCCTTGCCAAAATTCGGTTTGCACGCCAATTTTCGTACGTGCGTTAATCAAGCCGAATAGTTTGGCCGAATATTCGGCTATTCGGCCACGCTCCTGGCCGATTATTCGGTATTCGGCCAGAGGCCGAATATACTATTCGTTGCAACACTAGTTATAACCCTTCATATATAAGTACAGTAGAGCGTCGATTATCCGAAAGTCAATCATCCGAAAAAATTCCAATCGGCAAATTTAAATTTTCGCCAGTGCTGTGGCGTCGCAATCTTTGTCTATGTCTTGGGCTACTCAAATATTTTACGTTTTTGATACTAAATTAACTTCTGAAATATAATTTTGTATTGTTTTTATATTTTTCAATATATTTATTTTGTTTGTACAAAATAAAAAAATAATTTTTAACGATACAATAGTTTTCGTTGGGCTTAAATTAACATCGACAAAAATTCAACGCGAAGCGACACGCAACGGAGAAAAATGTCAAGATGGGATAAAGTAATATATTTTTCATACATAGTCGGTTATCCGAAACATCGATATTCCGAACCACCCCAGTCCCCAATTGATTCGGATAATCGACGCTCTACTGTATCAAAGAATTCCAGCATTGCCCAGTAACTCAAAAGAAAGTTGAATTGTCCGTGGTTATAAACTGGCGTATGTCTTCCGCAGAGTGGCAAAGAGTAATTAATATCTGAGGATGGAGTAATGGTTAAGGAAGGAAATATGGCGTGGTAGCTTGTATATAAGGTATTAAATTTTGATGGTAAAAGATCAAGAGTGTGGGCAGTGGCGTAGCGAGAGGGTGCAAGGTGCAAATTATTTTTTTATTTTGTACAAACAAAATAAAAAAATAATTTTTAACGATAGTCTTCGTTAGGCTTAACATCGACGAAAATTCAACGAGAAGCGACACGCAACGGAGAAAAATTTCAACATGGGATAAATTAATATATTTTTTCGTGCATAATCGGTTATCCGAAACACCGATCTTCGGAGCATCCCCAGTCCCAACTGATTCGGATAATCGACGCTCTACTGTAATTAATATTAAAAGATTCTTATGATAAAAATCTCATAACAGATGGGGCCACACACAATTTTAATGATTATTATTAAACATATACAGTGAAAACTGCTTAGGCGACCACNATTAATTATATCAAATTTAAAAAATATACTAACATAAGTTAAGAAATTTTACAAATATTGAATTATAATGTAAATAAAACCAGATTACCTGCAGATGAAACAAAACTAATAGTAACAATGAATGAAGAAAAATATATAAATGCAAAACTTGATTTGATCTCATCACATCAATATAGTGAATTAAATGAACTCCCTACTGGAAACATATATGAAAATTTAGAAAAAATACTTAAAAGTTGAAAAAAAACTCAAGAAAATTAACATAAATGATTTTAATATTTTAGACTATAATTTAAGAATATGCAGACTCAATATCAGAGTAAAGACATAAAATAAACAGAGCATATAAACCATTAGTTGACACAAAAGTCTATGTATTATGGTACAGTATATAATTTAGAAAAATTTATGAAGACCAAACTAAATCAATATAACAACTCAGAAAATAACATAAAGAATACGTATCAGTTCATTAAAAACCTTAAAAAGCTCAATATAAATGAAAATAGCAGGATGTTGAGTCTGGATATTAAAAATATGTACCCACCTATACATAAAGAAATTAATAGTAGGCACGTTAAATAACTTGGAATGTAACAAATAGATGATTCAACTGGTTCAGTTCATTTTAGATAATTATTATTTTACTTGTAACAAAGTTTTTTTTTAGACAGTAGAAGGTATCTTCATGGACTTATGCATTGGACCGAACTTGCAGAATTATGCGTGATAAAAATTGGCCAAATAATTAAAAACCTCTGCAGTATAATTTTTTACAATAGAAATGTGAATGACAGTTTTATTATTTACAATAAAGGTTTAACCAACCCCTAAATTATACTCCACTACACCAATATCCACAATAATATAATTTTTGAATTAGAAAAAGAAAATAATGGCATGTTAAATTTTTTAGACATCACTGTCCAGACATCTTATGAGTTGTCTTTTAAAAAATACAATGGGCAAAAACAGTATTTGCACACTGGCATTATTTTGCATAAATAAACTTACAAAGCAGCTATAACAAAATAAATTTAACCATTGAATTAGTTTTACAATTAATAGTGAGGTTCAGGCCAAAGTCTTAAACACGAAAACGTGTAAGTCAGACGTTCAGCGCCACTTTCCCATAAAATTAGTTTTACAATTCCCATAAGCCTAGAAGTTTGACAATGGTGTTTGGAATGTCAAGCATGATTCCCCTGACTGTCCAAACACCATTGTCAAACTTCTAGGCTTACAGGAAAGCGGCACTGAACGTCCGATGTACACGTTTTCACATTTAAAACTTTGACCTCAACCTCGCTAATATCTGCAAACATTTTATTTTTTACCTTATCCAAGGAAATATGTCTGTAAAATAGCATTTTTTGCATGTAAAAAAAGTGTACACATCACTGGTCTGTTTTATAACAGTTAAATATTACAAAATGCAAATTTTCAGCACATAATAGGTCTGCATTATTTAAAAGGCATGTTATACAACTATCAGAGCAGGATGATTATATATATGATTAGGCAAATATCAAAAGATCCCTTTGTAAGTGCTCAACAGCTGGCAATTAATGTTGCTTCAACTTAGGGATCATAGTAAGTTCACAAACCAATTGTGATATAATATCTTCATGCAGTCCTTATTCAAGCCAATGCACCCAAACAAAACCCTTTTATCAGCAAAGCAAACAGACTGAAAAGGCTTAAGTTTGCCAAAACATGTATCAACAAAACAGCTGTTCTATTTTCCAACAAAAGCAAGTTTAATATTTTTGGTTCATAATATGAATGCTATACAGTACATTGATATATTGTGAGGTAACTTATTGCACAGTGTATCATAATTGGGAATTGAAGAGTTATACCATTCCAGCAGGAGAATGATCCTAAACATATGGCTAATGTAATGAGGTTGTGATTATAACATAAAACATACTCAAAACTCTCCCCAATCACCTGATTTAAACCCCATGGAGAATTTGTGGCAATTATTAGACTTGCAAGTGAGAAAGAGGAAAATTTCCAACAAGATGGAACTGAAGTAAGCACTTAGCAACAAAAATATTAGTGCAATGAATTGCTAGGTCGATTGTCATGTCTCGTTCATTGATTACATCTTGTAATCAACAAATGAGGCATACATACTAAGTACTAGTATAGCCTAAAAATCTTTCTTTGAAGGATTATTTGTTTTTACTTTTACTAGTGTGCAGATAACAGTTTTTAACATCAAAAAAGTATTTATTAGCATTATTGTTATTATTCTGTAATGCCTATCATGGTAGATATTAAAACTTTTGTCAATATATTGATATTCTTCACTTATAATGTATTTTGCATTCATTTATATTAGATTTGACCTTTTTTGCTCACTGTATATTAAACCATGTGATGTAGGTAAAGTTATTAATTATTATTCCAGTATACCTATGTATAGTACATTAAAAAGAACATTTTCAATATGTATATTACAAAAATTAAAACATGCACAAACAGTATTATATATTAAAATAAGAAACTGAATACATATATTGTATTTTCCAATTAAATAATTACCCAAACAAGATAATCAAAAAATGGCTTAACAGTAATATAGAACAACAGTATGACCAACTTTGCCAATAATACAAGTAATCTATAAAAAGCTTGATTATATTCCTATAGTATTTGAAAAGATACAAAAATTATTAAAAACATACAATATTGTTCTTGCCCCATTTAATAATATGAAAAACATGTTAAATTAAACAGAATTAAACAAAATTAAACAGAATGAATCAATTAATAAGAAAACAGATAAAATGCAATAACAATGTAGTATACAAAATTTC